GCCTCCAAGAGCTGGCACAGGGGTGAATCGGTATCATAACTCCTACATCATGTAACTCTGCTTCCTTGCTGCCTTGGCATGTAGGGCCGCGGCATGTGTCCACGCCTCAGCGGAGTCTCATTTGTGAAAATGCCATGAAACCTCTCCCTTTGCCCACCCTCAAGTCTCTCCGCGTTTCGCACCGCCAGCTGGGCTGCCCTGCTGCCATTGGCCCGTGTAAGTGCGGCCATCTGCAAATTTGTACACCTGAATGCGTGATTCAATGTGTGGAACTGCAAGGTCAAGCAAAGTCTCTTTCATAGAAGCAAGGCTCTGAAACACAGCCCCTGCTTTGTAAAGGCCGTGGGGCGAAGGGACAGCACGCTCACGGCTGAGGCGGTCACACCGTGGCCGTCCATCTTGTCATTCCTCGAAGCAGGCTGGCCATCGAGGCTGTTCCCTCTCCAGCTCCCTGGTCCCTCGGTCCCTCGGTCCCTCGGGCGCTCAGCTGGGGCCCCTGGCTTAAACTGGCCCTCGTAGACAACGCCAGTGGCGGATTTGTAGATGCCAGACTTAGCGAACGAGAGGTCTTTGCTAAGCAGCCAGAGACCAACGACTAGAAACGAGACCCTGCGACCCAGGGCGGAAGCCCCCACTTCTTGACGTTCGGTGCAACATCAAGGTGCACACTCTACATGCGCAAGGCTGATCATGACTTGCCCAACTTTCAGTGAACAGGCGTCCGGCATCGAGCCGATGGGTGACACCATCACTTTCTGTCTTTGGCCGTCCCGTTCTTGCCAAGCTTGGACATAGAATCTAGAGTTGTCACCAACCATCGAGCGTTGAATCCTGAAAGCATCACCAGCAGCCTGCTCTCTGATTCCTTCATGCGCGAGAAAACTATGCAAATTCAATTTCAAAGAACGGCTTCCTGGGAACGTAAACGCTTGTGACGGTCCAAAATTGAACTGCATGAATGTACTTGCCAGTCATCAGTTCTCCACAGTCGTAACATCTGGGCTTAAAGACTTGTCAAGTGAAGGTTGCACATCATTGTGTTGTGTCTCTTCGATCGAATGCAACGAAGGGCAAGGCTCCTCTGTAGTTCAATCGCTGAGGTGCTGACCCCATGCTTGGAACCATGCTGGAATTGGCCCTCGTACCTGCGTGCGATGCTCAACCGGCAACTCACATCCTCTTCCTTTCTTGCAGTGAGGAGTCATTACTTCAATGCAAATATCAGGTCTTCAACATATATCACCAGTACCACCCAAACCTTTGCTGGAAAAAAACCCTCGGAATTGCCATCGCGCCTTGCTCCGTCAGCCCAGCATTCGACGCCCTTGCCCGACTTCTCGTCTTGCACCCACCTCAGGCAAGGACATATCAGGTGACTTGAGCGTTGAGCTTTCTGGGCTACGATGCCAGGCATTCCTAGAACATGTCTGGCTCGCGTCCAGCGATACTTCTGCCCCTCTGCCCCTGCCTTGGGCACATAAATTACGTCGTAAACTATTTATTCCACTATTTCTATGTTGAGACTCAGATTTGCCCTCGAGTTTCCCTCATGGTCTACCCACAACCATGTAAAGAATTAAGAAGGCCGCAGCTATTTCTGGTTGGGATTGTCCCTTACTAACCTTCATCTACCCGGGCTTTGATTGTGGCTCAAGTGTCGTTGTCGGGTTCTGGGGAGCCGGCTCGCCCTCGTACGTGCTGCCATCTACATGGACGTACCTGAGCAAAGCCCCTCGCTGCAAAAAGCACATGGAGCACTTGTGAGTCTCTCTGCATGCTTTCTGTTGTCTTCTTGGATGTGTGGATGTGGGCAACGAGTCATACCAGCACCCTAGCACCTGTTCATCACCAAGCACCAGCATCCAAAATGGCCGAGGGCCGGCACTTGGATATCTACATGTCAACTCAGTTTGCGAAATCCAAACTCGTCTTCTCAACTTGAGCCAAGAACCCCCCCAAAGCTCCCCAAGTCCGCGATTAATCAACCCCCGCTACACAAAGCCACCAGCATGTCCATCCCATCTCTGATCCCCTGGGTGGAGCACTTGCCATATCCATGCGCACGATCCTGGACTCAAATCGTAGCCCCAAACCCACAAGTTAAACTGGGTAACGCAAATCACGAGTGAAATCCATGGTGCAACCGGTCGTTGACTGCCCTTTATCCCTCACTGCTCGGCAATATATCTCACCTTCGAGTGAAAGGTTCACGGATCCAACAGCATTAAAACCACGCGCAAGGCAACTACATTCGAGCTGTCGGGGCAGCTTCCCGCCTGATGCCATTGCCCCTCGTAGGTGTTGCCGTTGGCTGCCTCAAACACACCATGGCCTGCCGAGCACGGGGCCCTGCCGCACAGAAGTAAAAGCAAAAAGAGGTCGCATCAAGAAAGACAGAGCCCTTCTTCGTTTTTACGGCTTGCTGTTACTGTAGTCCACCGTGTTAAGGCTGAAACCGGCTAACATGGCCTCTAAGGGGCACCCGTTTTGCCGGCTCGGGTGTCTTTTGTCCAAAACTGTATAGATCAACGGCGACCGTCACGCACCTTGCGCGCGATTGTCCACAAAAGAGCCGCGATAAGTTTGGCCGTCGGGCCTGGCGGCTTTTGACCATTGGAGGTGGATATGCCCCCCGCTTCCTCTTGGTTTCCCTTCAAAACCATCCAAATTGCAAATCGGGTACCCTCGAAAACGACACACCCATGTCCCCTCTTTGCAGGCTTCAAGGCTGAGTGGTACTAGTGGTGCTGCGAAACAACAAACACACAGTTGAGCAACTCCCGTCCTGGTAAGGACTCCCTGGCCATATCTCTGCTGACCTCGCCACTGACCCTTGTACCTGATACGAGATACATGAAATTACCTGATGCCTCCTGGGCATTGCTTCTCAGAAACACGGGAAACCATCCACGTGGACAGGGGATGGAGGGAACTTGGAACTCCCCGCGTTGAGTCCCTCGGTCACTTTGCTCCGCCCTCCACTTCAACCTCCTCGCGCTCCTCCAAATCTTCCTAGCCAGGGCGTGTCTCATGGAGATCCCTCAAAATGGCGTGTCTCATGGTTTCCCGTCGGCATTAACGCAAAAATCCCATGCAGCTAAGGACTCAACAAGAAAACAAACGCATTCTCAAGAATGGGAACGGTTACCGCCAAAAAAGCGGCAGCGCCAAGCGATGGCAAATGACCTGGCAAAGTGGGCTGATTGATTCCCGCCTTCTTGGCGAGGTTCACTTCCTGGCAACCAGGCACGGCGCAAAGGAAGGGGTCCGCAGGGTGCAGCCATAAATCACCTTGCCAGGAAACCATTTAGCCCTATTCCAGGTAGTGCCGTGCCTGCGTCGTTGGCTTAAGCCTTTGGTGTGGCAACACATTGTGTGGCTCAAATTTATCATGGCTCCTGCTGACTTGAATTGTTTGGGCAAGTATTCTCGTGTCGCAGCTTGTGCACTTGTCTTCCTCACACAATGATATGACACTGAACATTTACCATGCCGGCTCACGCGTGCCACGGACGACATGACTTCTTGAGAACCTGTCATCGCCCTTAGTACTTTCCAAGCCAACAAAGAACTAATTGCATCTACGGGGGCTGCCTATAAGCAGGCGCAAGCCAATCATGCGCGTTCCACAACTCGCGAGAGTCCGCAAGGATCAATTTCGCCTCCATGACGCGCAGAGCACCCACATCGCTGGATTGCTGCTCCTCCCCGGGTTCCTTGCAAATGGCAAAATGGCGGGAAGAGCAACCATATCACTGGTGTACTTAACCCTCGTTAGGCCATGGCTGATGTGTTGTATGTTTGCGTGAACTTTTACAACACTGTGCACCAAGGGTTGGGAAAGTCCCACCAGGGAGTCTTTGACACCCGACATGTTCCTTTCAGTGCTTGAACAAGTGGGCCAAACTTTGGATTGTCCGAAGCAGAAGGCTGTCTCACCTTTCCCTCGGTTTGTGGAAGTCTTTCCGTCACGCCAAGAGGCTTCCCCGCCACAGGTGCACTGCCATCCGAAGACACCTGACAGCTTTGCCACGGGTAATGACAAGCAAGGCCGTTTTCTGCATGCGCTGGCAAGGGCAAGTCCATGTTGGAAAGACTGCCGCATCCACCTCTGTGCGACCAAGGTGCTCATGATACTTTGCAAAGGCCGCTCACACTAGAAGTTGTGACTAAGATGCGGCTGCGGTGCACAAATACCAGCTAAGTGTCAAAAGCGCATCGTGATGCATGAGTCGAGACCTGCAAAACGCAGAGTGGAACCGCTATACGTTATCATCAGCCCTATACAATCGTCGTCAATATTCCTTCATACAGGATAAGGATTTTCCGTGTCTTCAAATGGCGAGCGCCTGTTTCATACATGTTCCGATGTTTCATCCCTTCCTCCCCCAAACCCCTTTGTTGATGGGATCTTCTGATGAGTTGAGTTTCGGAAGAGAAAATGAGTCGAAAGCTTCACAGTTGCTGCCTCAAGTCCGCTGCAACTCTCCTTTTGCCAGTGCCCAGGCGGCCTGCTCAGTTCTCAGGCGGTGAAAGTCAAGTCGGAGAAGGTCACACCTTGCTTCCTATTCGACAAGTATTTGTCTCGGTTGGGATTGACACACGATTTTATGGTTGGCCTAATTCCTTGAAATACTTATGACATGAAGAGTGTTTGTCAGGTGCCTGGTTTCCACTCTGCAATGTTCTTAACAGTTTCTTGCGTGCGGGGACGACTGTTTGTCCCTTTGCTTTCCTGAAAGCGTCAAGAATGGCCCATGTTCTTGGTTGTTTGCCCCTCCTGACCCTTTTGCCACTCTGCATCCGGTTTAGCTGGAGAAGCAAATTGACTCAAACAAAAAGCGCAGCCTGAAATAGAGATCTGTGAGCCCACTTCTGCACACGGAATGCTACGAATCTACGAATGAACCCACCTTTGCAAGATGCATATCCATGAACCAAACGAAACACGTCCCGGTTGCGAAGATTGAATCCGCACGCGCAATCGAAGCCCAATGGATGAGATGTGATCAAACCCCAGCCCTTTAGAAGCAAAAGCTGAAAAACGGAGCCCTAAACAACTAGCTCGCCGAATCTCAGCCCATGAACAAACGGAGGAAATCTGCAAACCATGATGCGATTTGGGTATGAAGCTTACTGAGGAGCCTTTAATGTGCACATTTGGGTGGGGCGCATGTCCACCAATCACTTTTGAGATGGTCCCTACACAAACTCATGGCGATTTGAGGCAAGGTGATGACTCTGCCGGGGGCAACCTTCTGCCCACAATTGACGCGGATCACTCCCGCAAGCGCGCGCCAACTTTCGGCGCAACACCTGCAGAGCGGGCTGAGTCTTCCGGGGTGAAATCCCAACAGGCGGACCCGCCACGTTGCACACGGGACAACCCGAACAACAACCGTTTGCTGATACTTGAAAGTGACACCTTGGAACTGCCAAGGACTCAATCAAGAGGACATTCCCTTCAGATTCGTGTCAAAAGAAACATCGAGCCCCAGGTGTTGGGCTCCACCTGCTGGAAGGCCGCTCACTGCATTGGGCACTCCTCCATGTCCATCTCCACCTTGATGCCCTCGCGAGTTCTTTTTCTTCACTTCGGGGAACGTGAACCCCAAGCGAAGCGTCTTAACCGGGGCGCACAACATGGCGGAGTCCACTTGCCCGGAGAAAACTATAGCTTGGGAGATCGCCACAAGCTTGGGAGATCGCCACAAGCTTGGAAGCCAAGAAGGGTTGGACTATTGGAATGTTCTTAACTGTTGAGTGAGGAAATCCAGTATAGTTTGGTGCGCAAACCACCCACTACCAGGCTTCAGCCTGCCTCGCCGCCCATTGTCTCAGGAGCGACCATCAGGCCCAATGCCTTCATAAACCTCACGATTTGTGTTCCCCGCTGTCTCTGCCTCATGCCTGTGGCAAGCAAATCCGATTTGAACCCGCCAAGCCGCTGCTCGTTTTTGGGGTGCCCAGGCAGAAGCCTCAGAGAGGAGAGCAAGTGCCACCCACGCGAGCCACTCATGCCAAGCTCCCCGCGCTTCGATCACCTCACTCTCCTGCAGCTTGCCATCCTCGGTGCGGGCGGCATTTTTGCTGGGCTGGGTGCTGAGAATGACGTGCCTTGTTCACGTCCAAGCATTCAAAGGCGGCCTGGAAGCCGCGAAATTCCCGCGACTTGCGGCACTCCAAATTGCTTCTCGCCTTGTGCTTCTTGTCCATGTTGTCCTGGTAGTCCTGTTTCAAAGGTGCGAACTTCTTCTTGAATTCCTGCACCAGCACCGCTGACTCATGCCACATGTCAAGCTGCCCTTCCGTAGAGGTTGGCCTCATGGAGCGCGTTAGGGCTTGCTTTGATGTCCATCATTGACATCATTTGCCCGGTGGCGAGCTCCTCACCGGGAAGAATCCATGTCTCTTTTTGGAGGGTTCCCGTTTTGTGGTGGTTTTGAAGGGAAACCAAGAGGAAAAGCCCCGTTCTGGAGAAGGCACACCCATTTCGCTCCCATCAATGTCCCATGCGAGCAATGTACCGCAAAGCCCGCTCCGCTGTTGACTCCATAAAGGGCCTTAGGTCGCATCCATCCAAACGAGGACAAGCTTTGTTGGTTGCCCCTGGCCAACGAAACAGCCCTGAAGCCCATATCGGCAGATCTGCCGGACCTCACCCTTACCCCTCACCCTGTTGCACTAGTGTAATTTGCAATCGAGACACAAACCAGAGTGTCAACTGCTGCCCATTACATGTGTTCAGCTGCTCTCGCCATCACTACCCTTGTGACACATTCGTCCAAGAGACGTGTCGCCGTGCCGCCAAGGAGCCCCAAACGCTCAGCATAGTTTGAGAAGAAAATGATGCTCTCGTCGTAGGTCAGAGCCTCAATTCACCAGGGGCAGAAGTGGAGGCTGCCGGGCACGTAGAAACACTTGCATGGTGCCCAATGTTTTCATTGGGTGCCGGAGGAGAACCACTTTGGTGCCCAACGTCCAGTGACGGCTCCGCCGCCACACGTCCCTCTCTTCTGAGGGCAGCGCCCCGCTGTTATCCTGGCACTATCTTGGAGTCAGTTGCCAGCTGCCAGACCAACACGAGTATGCCTCGAAATAGGGAAACCACACAATTGCTAGCTTCCTTTGGTGTCCTTTTCCACCAACCCTTTTTTGGGGTACCTAGAAAAAGACACCAACAAGGCAATGGCTTGGTGGCTGGGCAGTCAGATTCCCCCCTGCAAATCATGCGTGCCAAGCTGGCTTGAATGTCAATACCCTGGATATGCCGGCGCTGGCTCCTTGTCGTGGTATGCAAAGGTCTTCTTGATGACAGGCGTAAGCTCTTTGTCAATCCTCGCCTGGGAATGGACTGATTCTCAGTTGACCAATCCCACTCCACTATCCCTTTGGAAAACCACAAAGGGGACCAAAGCTTCACGTATCCCCTTGAAGGATCTTGTGGATTGCCCAACTGAAGAGCCAAAAAACTGGCCTGACAGTTTGTCTGAGACACCAAGGATTGGATTGCCACTAGACTGTTGAATGGCTCAGCAAGATTGCCGCTGGATTCGCCGTATCATTTGCTACGCGAAATCGCTAGACGGGTCAGTGGCCCCTTGGCAGTCCTAGCACGTCATGCAATTTCGGCCAATCCCGGCTGAGAAAGACATGCAAGGGCACATCCCGTGAAGCGCCGATGAAGCGCCACCTCAACATGGCCCATCAAATAATCAAGATGCGTTGTGCTTGCTGTGCCCTTCTGCTCGTGTCCTCTTCGGCTCTTCCTACAAAGCTGGCGGCCCACCCTGCCATGCCTGCGCTTTCTTTTGGATCGCCTGGCAAACGCTGCAACAAAGAAACCCAGTGCAAACCAGATTGGACAGGTGCCGCGCTGTTGACACAAAGGTCACAGGTCTGACTATGAGTCTGCAACGACAGCAGAGTGTCTCAAATGTTTGTCTCTATGACAAGACACGGCAATTCCACATCTTCCAACATCAGCCAGCTGTCCATTTAGCCGACTTAAGATGGCTGTGAATCAAGAGTCGATGTACAGCAATGACCGGGTCTCGATGTCAAACGTAAGTGTGAGATTGGAAACGGAATACTTCAATAACAATAGTTTCCGAGCTCACTGTAGACTTCATCGCCAAATGTTAATTCTGGTAAACCATCACCGTCCTTTCCAGTAGATACAAACGTCACGCCTCCAGCTTTTGGCCCATCTTCATTATCCCTGAAAAAGGATCTGAGGACTTGTCCAGCTCCTGGCCGACTGGAGGGGAGAGAACACGACCCACACAACCCGCGAAGGCACGTCGATGTCACAACTCCAAGCCGTGTTCAAACTGCCTTGTGCCATGTCGCATGCACAATTCTCGGCTCTAGTTACAAACGGGTCAAGGCGCTTGCCCATTCTCAAATTTCAACTCGACCTTCTGAGTGCAACTATGTCCAACCTGAGTTTATTCAAGCCTCTGGACCTGGCCGCATTGGCTGGCTACTATGACGACTGGACCCGGCCAACACAGTTCAAACACTTGGTACGGTCGGGTTGCTCTTTAGCATGGCCAGGTGCGCAACAGCGTGCGCCAGTCTTGCCAGCGCCCAAATCTGGGTACGGGGAGTTAAAGCAGGCAAGAGCAAAACGCTTTGGAGGATGACAAGTGTCTCAATACCAAATGCTCGTCTTAGGGCATGGGACAATGCAAATCATTCCCGAAATTCGAGGCACGTGAGAGATTGGCCAGTGGGACTTTCCTTAAGTTCTCTCTGGCCGCAGCCCTCCTTCTGCAGCTTCTGCGTCTCATTCGCCACATCCTGAGAAAATTACACTTTGCGCTGACAGTGGAGCAGGCTCACAAGTCCTTGAAATTACGCTTCACGATGTCTTCGGTCAACTGCAAGGCGGGTGCAATCAAACTCGCTTTCGACTCGCTGGAGGGCTGAGCCCTCTCTGCCGCCTTGAAATAGTGCTCTAGGTGAGGGGCACGGCACAGCCAAGCTACAAACCTAGGCAGTGTCACGCCCCACAATTCCCACACAAAAAGGGGTTGGGGGTGGGTGGAAAACGATGGACTGGAAGTGCGCAAACCTCACAGTCCATAGCACTGGAAGAAGACTTACCGGTTTTCGCTTGACGAGTGAAGGAAGGGCAAGGAACTCCTCGTAGCTGATCTTGGAGTCCTGCTCAAGGGCTCGCGTGGCTTCTTCTCCCAGAGAGGGCGTGTCTCATCCCCAACAAAGCCCCACATCCCGAGTCCCGAATCCCGGTTCGGCCAAAAGACACGCGTCCTTGTCGGCGTCTGCGTCCTTGAGGACCTTCCCCAGCTCACTGGCAGAGACTTTGCAGCCCAGGCGGGTGAAGACCTCCTGCAGCTCCTCCTGAAGGCCAGCGGGACCCAAGGGCCTCCCAAGGCTCCGGCCCGGGGCCGGCTCAGGCCGGCCGGAACCCAAGGGCTTAGTCCTTGGAGATGAAGCCGCTCCCGTCTTTGTCCCAAGTCTGCCGGCTTGACAAGCTCTTTCCCCGGCGAAAACATGCATCTGCCGCTGTGCAAACGCCTTGAACGTTTCGAGCATCTTGTCCTCCTTGTCCTTCCATGACGTGGATCCTGCAGCGTGGGCATGAGCCACATCTATCGAAAAAGGCCTTGAAGCTTAGATTGCTTCGGAGAGGAGACTGGAAAGCTGCCGCTCAAGTCTCCATGGTCTCAAAGGCTTCAGCCCCCCGCTCGCGCGTCGCAGGCAACGCGGCTCGCCTGTGATGGCTACCTTGCAGAAGTTCTTCCTGTGGGCATCGATCTTGGAGGAACCACCTCAAAGCCAAGGCGTGCAAGGGGCAAAGGATAAGAGAGAAAGGGCACAACCTCCTGTAGGAGTGGGCCAAGAAAAAACCCGAGCCGCAGAGCTGAGAACGCGACCACCCATCTTTGCAAAGTCGGACAGCTGAAGTAGAGTAGGATCCACAAGAGGCTTCGGCAGAAACGTGTCTGAAGGAATTTAAAGAAGCATGTGCAGAACTAGAGCACAATCAAAGATGGACAAAACCCAATCTTCGCCTGAGAAATCAGGAGGATTGGCAAGCAAACCCAGAGCTGCATACGTCAAACACTGCACGCTTGCCGTAGTGTGTTCGCACTCCTGGCCTTATTCCTTCGCTTGGGCTCTGTCCCTCAGCCCCTGGAGCAGCCAGGCCCTGATGCCCTCAGATATACCAAGGGCTCTGTGTAGCGTGAGACGCTAAACGGGCACATCCTTCGGTGCCACAAGTGGCTCTTGGCCATCTCTTCGGTCCGTCTTTGTACAAAGCAGTCAAGTCTAAGTGACTCGGGATGAAGCATGCACTAATCCTGTCTCACTTCGATGGGATGTCGCCCTTCTCCTTGTAGATCAGGATAGTGCGCCCACCCACCTCCTCGTAGTCATGCTCCTCCCCCTGCCACAAAAACGGCCAGAACTCAGCTTCATAACTCTTGAACACTTCACTGCCTCACTAACTCCCTCAGCATTCCCAGTGTCACTAAGTGGGAACGAGGTGCTGACCCCGTGGCAAGAGCCAAAAGAATCCGGCTCCACTCCGTCTCACACCCGAAATCCTGGGGCCTTGGAAGTGGTCAGCTTTTCATCTGTGCGCTCCACGGCACCAGGAAACTCCTCACGGGATGTATTGACCCGCCGAGATTACCCGGCTGGGCAAAGCAAGCTGCGTGCAGGCTACTGGGCTTGGCCCTACCCTCCCATCCTCTGGTGAGTTATCCTGATGCTCAGCATAAGTGGCTTCCCCATTGCATGCCATGCCTTTCTGATAAGTCGTATTGCTAGATACTCGGTCCATGAGTGCGGTGCATGCACCTCGAAGTGCATTGTGAGTGTCTTTTTTAGGGATCCCTCCAAACAAAACATGTTCTCAAAATACATACCAACTGCAAAAAAGACACACCCAAATGTTTGTCCATTCCCATCCCGTCCTTCTGGAGTGCCTCCAGAGCTTCGGCCTCAGAACTCGCCTGCGATCGGAAGCACGTCTGACATCAGGGACTTGTAGTACATTGCGTTGCATCGACATACGTTCAAGCAGAAGAAGAAAAAAAAAAGGTGTGTTTGAGTGCGCATTGTTGCCAGGCACATGAAACAGGAAGTGACATGTGTGTGTGTGTGTATGTATATATATATATATAAAGTCCTTGTTTAGGAATCAAGGTCTTGTGTGTGTGTATGTGCGTGCATGCATGCAATGTAATCTCATGTAATGTAGTGCAATGTAATGTAATGTAATGTAGTGTAGTGTAATGCAATGTAATTTAATGTAATGTAATGCAATGCAATACAATGCAATGGAATCTAATATCATGTAATGTATTGTACTGTAATGTATGCATGCCTGGCTGTTTGTCTTTGTGTATGTACGTACGTATGTATGTATGCATGTATGTACATGCATACGTACACCCCCATAGACGCTGCGAGGATGTGTTTCGAAATGCTTCATCTCTGCGGGATACAACACCCTGCTTTGCCAAGGCTGGGTGGTGTAAAGAACCTCCACCACTCATATCTTTTCATCCCAATGGATGACATGGCCGTTCTGTCTGACCCCAGCCTTCCGGCCAAGAAGCTCCTCCACAATGGACTCCTGCGATCGTGCGGCACAAGGTGGGCCACCTGCCTTATGCAGAGCCCAAATCGGGAGTGAGGAGGTGAGAGGAAACGGAGCGATCAAACGCTGAAACAACCACCAACTACGAATTGCCAGCAAACAACCCCAGGAATTCTACTGAGGAACGGAAACCTAAAAGGCAAAAGGACTTGCACTCTGTTCACTTAGGCGGTCGAGCCTTGCAGGCTTTGCTGATCTGCGTGATGCCCTCACGACTGGTTGCCTGGCTTTGCCAGGCACCAGCCCTCCCACAGGATGTGGACCAACTTGGTTGGTTTCCACTTGCGTCTCCCAATAAAAACCAACCCCAAAAGGGGTGCCTAGCCTAACAAAGGATGAGCCAACCCCCTTTTGGGTGGGTTTCCCCTGACAAAAAAAATAAACTTGTGCCTCCAGGGTGTCCACCTCGCCCATGAACTTCCCGAACAAGTGGTAGCCTTCGCGGCATGCGAAGGAAAAGGTACAGTACCCATCTAAAAATCAAAACTCTTCTGGAAATTTACGACCAAAGTGTGTCTGTTTGTGCAATCCTGTTAGATTTACTGAGAACATGGGTTTCCCTTTACCAGCTTGGCGCAAGCCACGGTAAGGTATCAAAAGCCGGGTCCTTGCCAAAGGCCCAAACAAGGTGCGTGTTCTAAGGAAGCCGCGCTGCATGCCTTTCCCGACCTGGGCGAGAGGCTCCGCTCGCTGGGGGCCCTCTGAGAATGCCGAATTGTGCATTTGAGAATGGAGTGCAAGTCGCAGCGTCCACATGAGGCAAGACTCAAGAGCCTAGGAGCCCTCTCCAGGCGGTCGGAATCATCCAATTCAAGTCTGGTGCGAACTGCTTGGAGACTGGCCACGCCACCCACGCACTCGCCGTAGTGCACACCCACGCGGCAGGTCACCTCGTCACCCGTTCAAGCTTTCGAGGCGTAGCTCTTTGGCTGAAAACAAGTGATCCCGGAACCACCAGTTTTGGCCGTGCCTTCACCGTTGGTAAGCACATGGCACATCAGCACTCCCTGACTCGTTTTGGTACCAAAGGCTTGCTCATTTTCCTCGCAGCGCCCTGCATGACACCCTCCCAAGCAGAGCCCGGTGAAGGCTCTGCTCAACAGGGTCTCACGGACGGTCTCATGAAGGCCCCTTCGGAGCACTCGGCTTTCTGACAGTTTGAATCCTGGGGAGAAGCCATCCGGTGGCCAACTTGCCTCGCACAAGTTAGTTGACTTCGATCGCCGGAAAAGAAGAAGGTCTGTCAAGAAGGGATTGCTAATCAACTGAACCAAATTTGTGTGAGGGTGTGACAAAAAGCTAATGCACGACGGAATGATCCTATCCAGAAAGGAGGCCAAGCCAATTGTCAAAAGTTCAAACCACGGTGGACACCTGAGTTTGGGTTCGTGCAGCCTTATTGAAACCCAAGAACAGCGAACAGTTGTACGCATAATCCACGTACGGTATCCTTTGAATGGCTTGACGGGCCAAACCAAAATCTCTCTCTCACGGTTGGGAAGGCCAATCAGCTGTCCACTTTGAAGATGTCTTGCTTCTTGGGGTGCACTTTTCTGGGGGGTAACGTCACCAAAGTGCAAGCCTGGCTTCCCTGAGCCACCCCCATTCGGTGAAACATGTTCAGGTCTCGGCGCTGCGCAGCCCCCGCACAAAGCCATCATTGCGATGCCTCGCTAGAGCGCTGCTTTTTGGTTGAAGGAGCGTTGGACAATACCTTGGGGAATGTCACCCCTAAAGCTTCGTGTGCAGTCTCGTGCTCAAAATCAATGTCGGCTTCTGAGGAGGCTATCCGCGCAGAGGTGAATGTGCCAGTCCCTGCGACTGGGCTAAGGATTCCCGGGCTGGCAATCTAGAGCTCGCCAACTGCGTGCGCGAATTCCCCAACTCAGCTCTCAGAGTGCGTCTTCACCAGTGAGTAGGAGGAGAGGCAGCGGTACTCGATGTGGGGCAGGCGATTAAGAATGTCCTCCACCTCAACCGTGGTCTTCAGGTCTGCGCTGAAATAGTAAAGGATCATCGAGAGCCTCAGAGGCTCAGCACAGGGGTAATCCGAGCATCGACATGCGCTCTAAACGGTTGGAATTGCGACTTATGTGCGCTGGTCTTTGAGAAACTTCATGGCTGACATGGCCAAGGAGCATGGGGTTCTCTGTCAGCCGGACCTTGATCTCAAGGTTGTCGTCCTCTGTCAGCTCAGCAGCCGAGATCGGCAGCGTGGTGGACCAATGCAGCCTCACGTTCTCTGGGAAGCAAATGAAGACCGGCTTGTCGTTGAAGACGCTCTGCCCATTGTATTGCACCTCGGGGTGAAACATCCAAGGATCGAAATGCATTGATGCGCCAAACTCTTGATGTCGCTGTTTTGCGATTGACCTAATGCGAGTCCCAAGAAACCGCGACCGCGCCTGCCACTCAAACATGCCCGCTGGGAAGCGGTGGATGCATCGCGCCGTGTCGGCCACGGGCTTGGCCAGCTCGTAGACCAGCCGCAGCTTGCCCTCCGCACCATAGTCCAGGCGGATGCACCACTCAAAGTACTGGCCCAGGACGATCCTGGCCGGACAAAGCTACAAACACGCAGCGAGCCATCCTAGGCATCCACTCGCGCAGTGCGCACGAATCAGGCAAATCATATATATATATATATATATATAAATAGGTTCCAGGCCGTGAACCCCCCCCCCCTCCCCCCCCAAGCCCCCCCCCCTGTAGAGTGGGGTGGTGGGGTGGTGGGTGGTTGGGTGGTTGGGGTGTGGTTCGGAGTTGGTTTAGGCTTGGGTTGGTTCAGGGTTCAGGGTGGTTTGGTTTAGGGTAAGATCGAGAGGTGCTGGGGTGCTGGTTCACGGGGGTACTGGACAGCATCCCCAGCATTGCCAGCATCATCCCCAAGATGCAGATGATGCGGGGGAGTGGGGGGACCATACCATTGGGGGGGGGGGGGTACGTGGCCCAAGGACTGGTACATATATGCTCAACCCCCCATGATCTACCTTTTCTGTGTCATCCCTGTCTGCGTTCTGCTTAAATTTGTGAATTCAAAGTGATTGTCTTATTTGCAAGTCCTTGGCAGCCATGTGTCGAAATAGGTCTTATACCATCTGCGGACCTGAAACAATTGTATGTCACAAGGTGTCGTGTTCCATCTGCAAGGCAAACAAGACAATGTCAGTTCTATGAATATAGATCCGCTAGTCTAAAGCAAATGTCCCATCTGGAAGTTGTTGTAAGTCATGTATCGAAGTTGGCCCTAATCTATGTAAATCAAAAAGTAGTGAGAAAATGACTAGGAAGCGACGAGGAAGTGACGAAGAAGTGATGAGGAAGTGACGAGGAAGTGACGATGGAGTGGCGAGGAAGTGATGAGGAAGTGATGAGGAAGTGACGAGGAAGTGATGAGGAAGTGACGAGGGAGTGGCAAGGAAGTGAGGAGGAAGTGAGGAGGAAGTGACGAAGGAGTGGCGAGGAAGTGACGAGGAAGTGACAAGGAAGTGACGAGGAAGTGACGAGGAAGTGACGAGGAAGTGACGAGGAAGTGACGAGGCAAGTGACGAGGAAGTGACGAGGAAATGACGAGGAAATGGTGAGAAAGTGGTGAGGAAGTGATGAGGACTCCGTTGTTTGTCAGAACTCATGGGGTGCAAAGCACCAGCCACTTGTGACGATCACAGAAGAAACTGTTGTATAAGCGTGGCTTGTAGATCCTGGCATGGAGGAGGCCATAATTCCTCAGTCAAATGGCAAGCAGACGAAGTCTATGCCGCACTGGAATAAAACGGTCTGCTTTTCAGCGCTTTCGATGAAGGCGAATCTAACACAAGAAGACATATAAAATGAGTGTATGTTTTACAAAGCCCAAAGAAAGTAAGGGAAACTCACAAAAACACCTCGCCTCGAAAAAAACCCAAAAACAAAATCTGGAGAATCTTTGGTTTCAGCCCCAAAGTTTTGTTGTTTGCTTTTCTCGAGTTGTTTTGGTTTTCCCTTGGTTTTTCCTCTGTATTTTGGCTTTATATGACTTTAATACTTGCCAAAAAAAAGTTCTTGCACTTCACCAGAGTAGAACACAATAAAGCACTGTAAAAATGCATGTTTTTTGTATATCATGGCTAGTTCAAAGTGGAATGCCCCAGAGGCAGAAAATGCACATTTGCAATACACATGAAGTAGCTAAAAAGACTTCAAGAAGCAAACAGGTAGATCATGGGGGGGCTGACCATATATATATATATATGTATTAGACCGGGTATATATATATATATATGGTACCCGCCCCCCAAAAAAAAAAACACGCCCCAAGAGAATTTGACAGTGTTTGCAGTACTTTTGTGTGATTTCAGGCCCTTCAATTTTGACTCTTTTCAGGCACTCCAACTTTGATTCCCCAAAATGCTGTAAAGCGCTTTAAAGCACTTTGGGATGAAAGATTCAAGATTCCCAGGACTCTAGATCTGGAATCTTGAATCCAGTTCCCCCCCAAAATTAATGCTTTAAAGCTTAAAGCGCTTTAAAGCACTTTTGGATTCAAGACTCAAGATTCAAGATTCCCAGGACTCTAGATCTGGAATCTTGAATGCAGTCTGGGCCCCCCAAAATATATGTTTTAAAGCTTAAAGCGCTTTAAAGCACTTTTGGATTCAAGATTCAAGATGCCCAGGACTCTAGATCTGGAATCTTGAATCCAGTCTGGGCCCCCCAAAATGCTTTAAAGCGCTTTAAAGCACTTTTGGATTCAAGACTCAAGATTCAAGATTCCCAGGACTCTAGATCTGGAATCTTGAATCCAGTCTCGGCCCCCCAAAACGCTTTAAAGCGCTTTAAAGCGTGTTCATCCAGGTGGCTCGTGGATTCAAGATTCAGATCTAGAGTCCTGAGAATCTTGAATCTTGAATCCAAAAGTGCTTTAAAGCGCTTTAAAGCGGTTTGGGGGGCCCAGGCTGGATTAAAGATTCCAGATCTAGAGTCCTGGGAATCTTGAATTTTGAATCCAAAAGTACCTTAAAGTGCTTTGAAGCATCTGCTTTCAGCCATTCCTGTTTGTGTGTGTGTGCACCTTATTCTCCTTTTGAACTTGTGCGCGACAAATACAGTTGATAGTTCATCATATGGACATTGGAGAATTAACTCTTCAATAAATGACTTCAACAAATCCACACCAACCCTTGGATATTGAAAAAAAACACCGTAAATACCAGTGTTCTGCATGCGTCCTAGCAGGTTTTGTGCAGAACATATTTCATTCAGGGAAAATAGTTGTTTTGGAAGAGTGTGGCACTGGTCAATGCATATTAGATGTGAGCAGATGTTTTGGTATTGGCCAAGGTTTGCAAGCTGACAAGCGAAGGGGATTTGCAGATGAGTTGAGATGAGGGATGGAAGATGCGTAGCGGATGATGGATGGATAGATAGATAGATGGATAGATAGATTGATTGATTGATTGATTGATTGATTGATAGACATAGATATACATATATATATATACATATGATAAATAGATAGATAGATGGAGAGAGATGGATAGGTAGGTAGATAGGTAGGAATATAGATACAAATAGAGATAGATAGGTAGAGCAAGCAAGATAGATAGGTAGGTAGATAGATAGCTAGCTAGTTAAATAGATTTAGATAGATAGGTAGATAGTTAGAAAAAAATATAGATAGATAGATCGATAGATAGATAGATAGATAGATAGATAGATAGATAGATAGATAGATAGACATATAGGTAGGTAGGTAGGTAGGTAGGTAGGTAGGTAGGTAGGTAGATAGATAGATAGATAGATAGATAGATAGAGACATTGATATGCAAATGACAAGCAAGAACAATGAACGACAGAATGAAGACCTAAAGAAACACAAACAGCAAGAAATAAATAACGAAATACAGGAAGAAATTCAGAAACAAATGAAAATAAGAAAGGAATGTAGGAAAGCAAGACGAAGAGAAACGAGTCAAGAAAAAAAGATAAAGATAACTATAGTTCTTATATTCTTGAAACTTCCGCCCACCGGCTTCGCCGGCTCTACTGGTATGGGTGGCTAAGTCTTAATGAATCATTTGCCCACTCCTGGTAGCATCCATCTAAAACGACCCGACTTCCCTTACATAAGCAGCAGGCGCGGGTTTTGGGGGGGGGGGTGCATATATATATATATATATATATATATTATATATAATATATACATATATTATATATATGTGTATAAATATAAGTGTGTATATATATATATATATATATGTATATACATAGATATATAATAGACCGGGTATTATATGCATAGATGTGCACAGTGCAGGGTATTGATGAAACACAAGGTAGTCAACACAAGCAAAGTACTTATACCAAACATCACTGAGCTGACGCAAAACAAATGGGCTGAGGGTACCCTCGTCAGCTTGGTTTTCAGGGAAACCAAATGGCAAAATACCAATTACGGAGGGGCCAGCACTCGACGAATACTAGCCATACTAACCGTACCAACCTATACTTGCTGGATGACTACTGAGGATGCTCAGTTCTGACCCCATTTTTTTTGGTGACTTTACCTATCCAAGACCCCACATTTTACCATCGAACAGAGTGTCTTCTTGATGCCTGGCCTTGCCGGCGTCGCCTCCATAGCTGCTCGCACGCCCTGAATGTTCCAGGAGAGCGTCTGGATGCTCGGCTCCTCCTTACAGCACTACACTGTCAAATTCATTCTGGGGCGAAATGGAAACCTCGAGTACTACCTCAAAAACGTACGCAACACTCAGCATTCCTAAACCGGCCTGATCCTGCCCTGAATCTAGCCAGCCTTTACGTGCTGATTCAACCCTACCTGGACCAACACTTACCCCACCCCGAACCCGTCCCTCCATCCAATCCCCCCTCCTCGGAGCGCAGCTGCGTCCATTCCTCGCCGGTGCCCCACTGCCAGTTCTTCCTCAGATATCCAACTTGTTCTTCTGTGCCAAAACTGAACAACTGCTCAGCAAAACCAAGACATCGACCAAGAATTAACCACACAAAGAACCCAACAGCAGGTTGAGATAACAAAGAAGTCAAGCCTATGGACTTACTGACTTCTGGTAGCCATGCCCGAGCACGATCAAGGCGACCAATCCCCGCTATCCGCGCGCATTCGATCCCAAATCCGTGTGTTTTCAAGCCCGTTCCCTTCAGCCACGAATGCACCTTCGCCCCACGAACCTGCACTTTCGCCTGCAGATTTTAGTGAGCTGGAGCTGCCTAAAGCGAGGGTTGACGCATTCGAAGTTCAAGTTTATTCGGAACTGTGACGGGTTCGGGGGTCGGAACCTCCGAAAACACCCCTGCGAAGCTCAGCCCTGCAAATTGAAGCATCTTTCAACCAGCACGCCCAGTTCATTCAAATAACTCCGGAACCCTCCGTGCAGAACCCATCGGAACAACCTTCTATTTTTGGTTGCCAAGTATTTCCTTTAGAATCGGAGATACCAACGAATTGTGGTCTGCCTCAATTTGCTGGAAAGATGCTACTGTGGCTGAAGACGACCACAACCCCCAACCTATCGTTGTTGGTGGAAGAAGCTAGAAACAGAACATGGGACCCGTCTCATGCACACTGCCCCTGCCTGATCTTAGCATTTTCGTCCGACCAAGACGCGTCTCGCGGAGGAGGTCACAAGCAGAATCGATCTGCCGATGGGTCAGGCAGTACCTTTCAGAGTCGTGAAAAGCGCTGAGCAAGGCCAGAAGGCCAGCACTTTCCAAGAGAATTGGCGCACTTCACGACCAAGTCTGCGTCACTGTCCACGGCCACTGTGTGGCAAGCATACCTTGGCAAGAGTATGGATTGCTGCGCAAGGCTTGTGTGAACGGACTGAAACGTGCCGTTGCCACAAAGCTAGACAAATCAGTGCACAAGTGTCAAAGTTCCCAACAACTGCGTCCAAGAGCCTTATGCTGGTAAAAGTGGACGGGCACAACCCTGCAACCCAGGCATCTTTTGAAAAGGCCTGGACACAAACTTGCCGACACACATTGGGACAACGTTTGAGTGGTGCATCACGCAAAGCAGAATGTTCCAAGATCCCAAAAAGAAGCATCACACATGACGTAGTTGGGACAAGCCCTTGCAAGCAACATACGAACAAAAAGGCACTGGTCACCTTGCTGTGAAGTAAGGAGGCAAGAAAGTTGTGGTTTGACCAAGTTTGATCTGTATGTTACTTCAAAGCATCAAGATGTTCAAAGCCTGCAAAAACACGGCGCGTTTGCACAAGCTGTCACAATCGTTGAGAGTTATCTTGACTGGAAAAGACCACTGGGGAGAACAATCACTACGTGACCGGTCACTGCTGTCCCAAGAAAACAACTTGGACCATGTTTTGACCTACCAGGTGCTGCAGGACTTGAGTCAGCAACTCCTTGGGAACCCCGAGCAAGTACTCCCTGTTGGTCTTCACCATGTTGAGGAAGTGGGCACCGGTGAACTTGCAAGCAGCATCCTGTCCCGACGAAATCAATTGAAACTGAAAGGTAGGCCCTGCTAATGACCCACACATCTTGACATCTGAACCTCTGTTGATACTTTCTGACACGTCTCCTCAAAGCTCCGGTACTTTTCCAGGACCTTGTGCTTCAGAACATCCACGACGTTCGACTCGTCGAGCCCATTCTCCAGGATGGGGTAGATATCATCGGATTCGATGGACTTCACCTGCGAAACTCCAGCCCCCTCTCTGCAGTCTCTGCATAGACTCTGGGAATCCTAGCTCTTAGCGACCCAAAGACCCAAAGACCTGCCTCCACGGCTTCGGCCAGATCCAAGAGATCTAAGCAATCCAAGGGGGTCAAGTTGTCCCGGGGAAGGCCGCCGAAGTACAGAAAGCGAATCAAGGTGTGCACGACCTTGTACGAGTGCTCCAGCTGAACCTGGCGATCGATTCCGGGTCCTCCGATTTCTTCTCCGACATACTCAGGACTAGATCTCTAAGGCATGCGCCCAGAATCCGAGTAAGCTCCAAGAGCCTTTGCGCCTTTTGCGACCCTACAGGACGGTATGCAAAACCATGGCAGGCGCGCGCTGTTGTGGCCCGGATTGCTGCTGAACTGCTGCGCGAAGAAGGACGAGTGCGCCGCCAGCTGCGACTTGTGAGCCGGGATCTCCCGCCCCTCCGCCTGCCAATGCAAAACTTGGTGCCAAACAAGTCTCACTCCGGAATACTCAACAGCATCTCAACAGCCACACGGGGGCACCTGAAAAGATGCCAGGCCTCACGCAAGGCGAAGCACAAGGCCCGCCTGGATGTATACATCTGCAAGGGTCCCGGACTCAAAGAGTTTCAGCAAGTTCAGCTGCAGGCCTAGCAATGACGCAGACTGTCGCTACTCGGCTTTGCCTCTGAGGGAACCCTCCCAAATGCGTGGTTTCCATGTTGATTGTCCCGTAAAACTAACCCTCAAAGAAGGCGCACCCCACTTGTACATGAACTCATCGAGTGCGACAAGAAATGGGCATTTGGAATCCCTTCAACATCCAAAAACGGTCAACTGAAAAACAACAGCCACCAGTTCCGCCTTCGAAGGACTTGAGATCTGCCATGGCTTTGTGGAGTAGATCTAACTTCCAATCTGAGGCCCACGTGGCTGCGGATGAGACCTGTATCACGTGGCTGAAACAAAGCGCAGAACTGCCTGAAAGGATCTTGCTAGTCCCAGGGGCCGCTGCGCTGGCTTCTGCTTCCATTTGGTTCTCTGTGAGTCATGGCCGTGGTGGTGCCTGGTTTTACGCGATCCTGACGGACAAAAGCCCTTCTGCCACATGTCAGAACTGGCCAATTGCCACATCGAGTCGACAAACAAAATGCTCCGGGCTCCGTGTGCTGAAAATCTGACGCCGAGCGGAGAGCTTCAGCCCAATCTCAGGCCGGAGCCTTTACCCCCAGGGCCTCTGCCCAACGAGCCGTCGCCTGGCAAAAGATCGGCTCCATGGGTGTGCATAGTAAGGGACCCTTTGGTGGACATCAGAATTCGGCGGGGATTGGTGATTGATTCATGTCCATCAATCCCTTTTAAGGTGGGTCCCTATTAAACTTCACAGCCACTGGAGCTTCGATTTATGCGCAGCAGCCCTGCCTCGATCATGGCCATGCCAAAAAGGACCACCTGCAAGGGAAAACAACATGAGCCTGGGCACGTTGGGATTCATGGACTGCGCCTGCCCATCACCAGGCAGCCATTCCAATGCGGAAAGTAGCTAAAAATGCTTTGCGTTGAAACGTCCCATCACTTCTCTACCGCGCTTCTCAACTATGTGTGACTCGTCAAACTTGTCTCGATGACTGGCGGAAGCCACCCACAAATTCACCGGACGACAAGAATCCCCATTGCTCCCAGATTCAAGTCACACAATTCTCTCGACTGCGGCGCCGCCTCCACCGAGCTCTTGGTGGCTGTCAGGGGCCTTTCCGCCATGCCTCGTCTGCTCGAGTTTGAACTCGGGCGAGTTGACAGCGACACACGCGCGGCGGGAAAGAGACAATTCTGTAGTAAAGTCCAAAAGCATTAGAACCACTTGGAACCTGGGTTGCCATTTGTTGCTCTTACTTTCCTGGTACTTGAGAAACACCCATGCTAATTTTGCTTTCGACTGATCAATGGAGTGGCTTCCAAATCGCCCCAACGACATGCAAAGCGCAATGTCTCTGGCACGCGCGCCTGCAATGTAGGCATCACCCACCGTCTCGACCTGAGCTCACGTGGAAGGCCCGAGATGGCCGAAGAGAGCCCAATATTGAGCATGTGTCTTGGTGGTGTGGGGTTTCAAAATTATGGATTTAAGCTAATTTCGAGGTCCGGCCCGTGTACTGAAGCCCTGTTCCTGTGTCGGCACCTCTGATCGGAGCACATGTCAGAACCGGGACACGATCGAATGTTGATTTTCGTTTTTGGGCTCTCATGTAAACAATTTCGGAAACCCAGCTGCCATATAGAACAAGCAACAATGGGCGCGAACGAAATCGTCAAACCAAATCACTGCTGGATGCCACGAGCTAGGCCAAAGCTCAGCCGTCTCAATCTGTTCCAGGAACCCCACACCCCACACACGCGAAGCCTATGAAACTGGCCACACCAAACCCATCATACCCAATTCCCCGGCCATGGTCGGGTTGCCTGAGCCAACCCCTCCTCAAAAAACAACATTGATTAGGCACTGCCAAAATTCGCTAAGTTCTCCCCCCTGAATATACGCTAATGAACAAAACTAGTTGATTAGCTTAAATTTGGGGGGAGGACTTAAGGGATCGCAAATCTTTAGGCGCGGCCAAAATTTTCTAGGGGAGGTGAACTTCTGGGATCACAAATCCTTAGGGGTGGTGAACTTAGACGGATCGCAAATCCTTAGGCGCAGCTCAAATTCCTTAGGCGAATGATTAAATAGTTCCCCACCCGACAGGAAGGGGTTGTTAGATTTTTATGTTCGAACCCGCGTTGTCTCCCGCCAAAACAGCTCGCCAGTGAATCTCGCCGAGTATCCCGCCAGAGCGGTCCGCCGAACATCCCGCCAGAGCGGCTCGCCAGTGGATCCTGCCAAGTATCCCGCCAGAGCGGCTCGCCAGTCGATCTACCACGCCGTGAGTGGATCCCGCCGCGTGGATCCCGCCAAGTATCCCGCCAGAGTAGCTCGCCACTAAACCCCGCCGAGTGTGTTATGAGCGCAGCCCGCCAGTGGATCCCGCCGAGTTTCCCGCTGAGTATCCCAGAGTACCTTGCCAGTGGATACCGCCGAGCATCCCGCTGAGTATCCCTTGCTGGTGGATCCTGCCGAGTGTCCGGCCAGTATCGAGCCGGAGCGCTCGCCAGTATTCGCCAGTGGGTCCCGCCAGTAAGCAGCTCGCGAGTCTGGTTTACATTTCATGTTGGTGCCTTCGTGTTTTGAGTGTACCCTGAGGCTCGGAAAGGGTGATGCTTTTGTGTTGCTTTGGGTTGCGAACAAGCAACTTCGTTTAATCCCCTGTCGGGTTTCTATTTGGGCTTGGCTTTTGTTAACGGAACCGATTTTTGAGTTCTCGAGATCGGCTTGCAGACAAGTGGAGTTTGACACACAGACAAGTGGATAAGGCTCTCAATGCAACGCTTGTTGAGGTGGGAGTTGCTCGAAGCGAAGTAAAAAAAAATGGGGGGGGACACTTAAGCGGTCGCAAATCCTTAGTGCTTGACTAGCTGAATCTCAGGGGGGGCAAACTTAGAGGATCGCAAATGCTTAGGCGCTTGAGCACATGGTTAATCAGTTTAAAGTGCACTTAATTAAGGCAACTCCTCAGGTGCAGCCAATATTCTCAAAATTCCTTAGGTGCAGCCACAATTCCTTAAGTGCAGCGAAGATTCCGTAAGGACAGCCAAGATGCCATAAGTGCAGCCCAAATTCCGTAAGTGCAGCCAAAATCCTCAAGCGCCGCCAAATTCCTTAAGCGCAGCCAAAATTCATTAAGTGCGGGGTTAGTTAGCTTAAATTCAGGGGGGTGAGCTTAAGGATTCTGGCTGCCCGAGATGAAAGTGGGGGGTGAACTTCGTGGTTTTTCAAGCTGAAAAATGCTGTTTGGCCCCCATTTTCATCTCAGGCAGCTTCAGCGCACCCCCCCCCCCCCCCCGCGAATTTAAGCTAATTTCTCCCTGCACTTAGTGAATTTTGGCTGCACTCAAGGAATTTGGTTGCACTGCAGGATTTTTGCTGCACTTAAGGAATTTGGGCTGCGCTTGAGGAATTTGGCTGCACATAAGGAATTGTGGCAGCACCTATGGCACTACAGGGGGTCCTCAGGGAATTGGCTCATTGTCTAAGAGGTGTGGCTGCGCTCAAGGATTTCTTGGCTGGGCGGAGAGAGGCTGGACTGCCGCGGGTAGGGCTTTGCCTGTGGTGAAAAGCTGCGTCCTGTGCATTTCAACTACTTAATCCAGGGGGTGGCTGTTCAAGCAACTGTGATGACACAGATTTTTGCGGAAAGCTGATTCCTGGTTCTTGAAAAGCACGTCGCTGAAATTGTCTGGTCTGAACCAAACATTGCAAACACCTGGTAACCTGAGTGCGCCACCACCTCGCAAACCAGCACATCAATCAGTCAGTCGGTTGTCGCAACCACACCGCCCGAAAATCACACAAAACACATGTTTGCCAACGTCACGCGGCCGTTTCAAATACGCCCACCAGCAACTCCAACGGCATCTACCAATCCACGCGTTCAGGATTGTTAAACCGTCAGACTGCCGCGAAATCACTCACAGGTACATGTGCGATCTGAGTCAGAAAATCCCAAGCCAAGATGGTTTTATCAGGTGTGCGCGGAACATTTCACAGTATGCTAATTCTGCCCCATGCGTGATCCGCATCAAAAAAGAACAAACCAAGGTCATTTCATTAGGTGTGTGCAACATCACTCACAGCTAATACCAATTCTTCAACGAGGTGATGCCATCAAGTCCGTCTTTTGCATTGTTCCCAAACAAAACGCCTTGTCGGGCTGTTCAGCTGCGAAAACACACAATTTTGAAAGCCATTGGGTTTCAGCAGCCCTGAAAGCAGCCCCACCCTTAAGTACACGGGGCCCTCCTTAAATCAACATTTGGTGGCACATGTGGCACGGCAACCCTTGGAACAGTAGCAGAGGTGACTTGGCCGCAACAAATCGATCTTCACCGTAAAGATCAAAGCCAGGCCCAAACCACCTTCGAACAAACCAAACTTGAAGTAAAGAAGGTCCGAGGTCAGCTCAGGACTTGCTATCCATGCCTGGAAACATCTCTTTGGGGCAAGGTTTGTGAAAGTGGAGAGTTGCATCCCTGGGCCACCTTTCTGCCAAAGGCTAAACGTATGATAAGGCGTGAGTTTTCAGTTCAGTTTTTGTGTTAGCTTCGCAAGGGGCGCAGGCTGGATATTTCTTGGATGGGACACATCTGTTAGTTTGCATCACGTAGACCTCACAATCAAAACAGCTTTAGCTACATCGGTAGGGGCTTCCCAGCCACATTTCACCTCCATATGACCGGTGAATCTCGCTACTGAAAGTCCCGAACTCAGCGCGCTGGCAAAGAGTTCAATGTGATCTATGCTCGTGAGAGCTTGAACAAGAATCTTGTGGCCCAGCTGGTTCGGGTCTGCCCATGTCATCCACCGAGCGAGACACGCTCGTCGTGTAAGTTCAAGCAAAGTGCGAAGTCCGCAAGATTTTCTCAATTGGCAACACCGCCCCGGCCTTGTAGACCCTATGCCGGGGATCGTTGGTGAGGTCATCAAACCTGCGATATTTGACGGGTACGGGTCCGCCCCACCCGGAAGGCCAGAAGAAGCTCACATTGGCATCCGGAAATGGTTTAGATAGCCTTGATATCATGGCTAAGAACAGGCTCACCTGCTTTTGCACGCAGAAATGGCCACCAAATGCTTATTTTTATCAGATGCGGCGCCAGAAACTCCCCCAGTCAAATGCCGCCTCCCGAAGAGATCCCTCACGAAGCCGACCACCTGCACCGGTGTCCTGGCTCACAATCTCAAAGACCATCCCTCGTGTCAACAGAAAAACATAAAGGGCACAAGCAGCTAGTCGAGGTTGCGCACACACAAAACACACACACACACGCACACACACAAAGCACACACCCACACACACAAACCACACGCGCACACACACACACCCACCCACCCACCCACCCACCCACCCACCCACCCACCCACCCACGCAAGCACGCACGTACGCACGCACGCACGCACCCACCCACGCACGCACGCACGCACGCACGCAGGCACGCAGGCACGCAGGCACGCACGCACGCACGCACGCACGCCCGCCCGCGCCCGCCCCGCCCGCCCGCCCGCCCGCGCGCGCGCGCGCCCGCCCGCCCGCCCGCCCGCCCGCCCGCACGCACGCACGCACGCACCCACCCACACACACACACACACACACACACACACACACACACACACACACACATATGGAATGGAGATTTCAGGAGGATGATCTAGGCTGCAGGCAAAGTGAGAGTGCGCATCACCATCCAAAAATGCCTCCGTAATCATCGACATCAGTGTCAAAAGAAGAATATGAGACGTTGCAGAGAAAAGAGCAGAGAAGATGACAACTTTTAGCACCGCAAGAGATCCTAGTCTGACAGAAAGGCCCGACACCACGGTATGAATTGCAACAGCCAGCCGATGCTTCCCGTGCATCCAGTCTTGTCGGACGCCAGCTGCGTGAAGCCGCAAAGGTCCGACTGGGCAATGGTGGCCTGCTTGTAGAGGTGGGACTTCGCTGGACCTAGAGCGCCAGTGCCATGCCCTGCCCATGGCATGCAATTTCAGGCGAGATGCCGAGCTTCATTTCCGCTAAGACTTCGGTTGGCATCAGGCTCTTGAGCACCTTGGAACCAATCCACAAGCACCCAGCTGAAGGCACATAAGCTGGCCAAGAAATTATGATTGAACCTAGATGATAATTCAAGTTTAGACTGCCTTGTTCTTCTGGACCACTCGTGCCAAGTGCGTTCTGAGGCACTACGTCGACTCGTTCCTGCCAGCACTATGTGTCTTTGAGCGAATTCAGAATGTTTGATGACCTGCTCATTCACTGGCCACAAAAACTTGAATAATTCATAAGTTTCTACAACACCCTCTAAACCCAATTGTGCAACGTGCTCGCGCTCGTCGGGTTCGAGTGCTTTGCCGCTAGTGCAACTTATCACCCTGCGCTTCGGTCGAATGTTGGATAGCATCCCTTGCATCCCAAAAACCAAACGGGGTTGCCAGTTGTAAGGGTACCCATTCTGTGGTCGTTTCACAAGTGAAGCCAAAAGGAAACGACTCTGTACTCTTGGAAGCCCAATTCGTGCTGTGGTTTGGTGGTTTGGATCTCCAGGATACCTTCCAATTTGGTGCTCTGGTCCAAATCCAATCCAACCCACCAAACATTGACCTGAAATCCTCCGTTTGTTTGCTTTTATCTAAACCACCAACCAAAGGCAACCTGAAATTCGCGGTTTTTCAACAACGCTCCTTTTTCACCGCGCCTGGGTTTGCTCTACCCGCATCTTGGCCTTGAACCTGGCCCGCGAGGTCTGCTCCAAAAGGTGGGCCAGCATGCAGCTCACCAGCACCGTGCACAGGAACACCACCCGGCCTCACGTCTCTCATCCCTCGTGAGCCCGGTGATTGGGAAGCGGCATCCTCCCCCCAATGCAAGAATCAGCTGCCCTCAAAACAGAGGTTTCGTATCTATCCACAAGCAGGGCTTCAAATCCAAATCCAACCCCCAATCCAAACCACTGATTGAGGGTTACCCGAACCTCTTAGGGCACAAAAAGAAACATGTGACCTGCCTTGTGAATAGTTGTGGGGAACACTCTATCCCCAGTTTGGAGCAGGCCCATGCCTGACATGCTCCAACACCCTACTGAACGTCACAAAGCAAGCGGTCCGTGGTAGCTGCCGAAGTGCCGATGTTGGAGATGTAGAGACTGGTGCGGTCGCGCAGCAGCATAAAAATGGTGCCGACGGGAATATAAACCAAGGATTGGTGAAAAAGCGCAGGATGTGTGTTGGTCACCTTGGCTGGCTACTACGCACTTGGTCAAACTCTAACCTGAAGCAGGAAGACCTGGACTGCCATCATCGTCTGAGTTGCAATGAAGTAAGCCAGCACGAAGACTAGAGAAAGCCTCAGCAACACCGTGGAAACTGCCAAATCACAATTTAGCCACGTTCCACGCCGCATGGCCGAAAGCAACCGCATTGTGCAGGCTCCAAGCGCACCTTCTATGCAAGGGCAGGAAGCAACACAATCGAAAGACCTGTCAGCCTGTCATCCTCTGACAAGGACAAGGACAAGGGGCTGCTGGTTGAAAAACTCCAAGGCTCCCATGTCGCTGTACCTGGCGCAAGCGGATCAAATGCCTCTGCTTGACTGAGACACGCTTCACGAGACATGTCTCAGCTGCGCGCCTCTTTGTGATCTGCGGGAAGATCAGGGCATCGTAGGACAGAAACATCAAGCAGGCCACCACGCTATTCGTGGCCACCAGCCCCCACTGCGCCTGCGGGCCGTTGGAATTGCACAGCTCTCAGAAGTTAGCCCAAGACACCGGCAAAGTTGCAGCTCTTTCGTCTGTTTTACTGGGCAAGCCTTTGGGCGTGCAACTTTGCTGCATTGTCAAGTTTATATGGTCGAAATAAAATGGCAACACATACCATCCTGCACAGCTGCACAGCTGATGCCCCAAGACGATGTTCCATGTAGACAAGCGGCGGCCATGAAGCTACAGGAGACCTTTCCGAATAGCTCTAAATCTTTGACGCCCCGTCAAAATTGCTACAGGTGGAACTCAAGGCCTCCCATGTCCAGCGCCCCCGCAAACCACCATGCTCCCAAAGATTGTGTATGCGCACGCAACCCGCCCAGCTCAGTGGACACAGCCAAGATTTGCCCCATCCTCCACGGACAAGGACAAATTAGAGGGTTTCTTGGTGGAAAACTGAGAGGTGCCCCATGTCCCTCCCACATGGACCATGGACTGGACATGTTGACCAGACCTGACATGGAGTTTCCTCTCGGGCACCTTTAAAGGGCGGAAGGCCGCACAGGGAACGCTGCGTCATCTGGGTGGTAGCCCCAGCAAACCTTTCGGAACCTCCACAACCCTTTCGGAACCCTTGGTCCAATCCGAACCACTCTAGAACCTATCTGGGCAGGAGGTCCCAAAGCGTTCGGCTGATGGGAAAATACGAATTGGCGTTGGCAAACAAAACAGCAACCGTGCAAAGTGAATAACTCTCCACGATGTATACATGTGTCCATTCCTTAGTCGATGTGGCTGTTTCTCGAAATGAGGGCTGTCCCTTGAAACAACCATCCAAAAGGCTGTGCCCCACTTTGATACGAAGCCATACTTTTCGCTTCCCCTCAAACGCGGCACTTCAACGATGCATTCCAGTGGTACCCAAGCAGGATTCCCATCCACATGCCTGATCACTTCAAAAAATCCCTTGTCCACTCACAAAAGTGGATTCCCCTTAAACCAAAAAAGACTCCCTCCCCAAAGCATACCTGACTGAGGCGTTTGTCCACCCTGCACAAAGGCCAAGCTCTTCTCCTTTGTGGCCCTGGCGCTTCCAAGAAAGATCAAGGGGGCCCACCAAGCGCAAAACTGTTGGGGCAAAACATGTGCATCCCCCGGATCCGGCGGATCCCAAACCTGCATCCGCTTCTCCAGGAAGGCCGGGGTGCGGGCAAAGTAGGACCAAGCAAGGCCCAAGGCCAACACGCCGCCCCGGCAGGTCAGCAACACGGTGAAGCGGCCTTGGTGGTTTTCGCGTTGCTTCACCCCGGCCTTTTTTTGAAACATACCACTCTTTCGGGTGTCGATGAAGAACAAAGCGGACGACAACCAAGGCGTAGTTTTCGGGGCGCCCCAAAATCAAGAGACCAACGTTTTCCCCTGAAGCACCAGCCAAAAGCGGACTACCCAATTTGAGGAAGACCTATATTAGTGGATCCTGCTTGACAACAGGGTTGCTGCATCTCACACCAGCATTTTTCAGCGGCTACGATCGCTTCTTAACCTGTTCCGCTGGGCAAATGCTATGTAGCCATGATTGAAGGCCTAAATGGGTTAGGACTTCCTGTTCACCCGTCCTTTGCGGTCGGGTTGCCATCAACACAAACACCACCAAGTCTCCAGAGATGGGAAAGGGCCAGGCGGCCAGCCCCACACACAACTCAACCATCAATTCCCCCGGTGCAAGGCTATGCTCAGCGGCAATCACCAATGTTGGGCAGCATGCCCGTTGCTTTGTCCTTTGAAGCATGCCAAAACGCGTGCTTCAGTGATGCAGCCGAATGCCGGTGCCCACAACACGCATTCCAACGCGTGAACACCATTCACCGAGCATGGCAAAAGTGCAAGCTGCCACCTGTCCTTTATTTCCCACGCTTTGGTGTGCTCCATGTGAATCAGGTCAAAAAGCGTCATGACCGCCTGTGAAAACTCTCCCCCATCGGCAGGACATGAGTGCAAAAGCGGCCCATTTCACGCTGCTTCCGTCAAATGTTCACAAAGTCTACTGACATTGCAAGGTCCCGCCATGAGCAGGAGCTGGCGATGCAGGCGCGGCCGGAACCTCCGCACGAAGTTGGTGTTGTGGAACCACTCCTGGAACTTCGCCTGGCAAAACTCCGTGAAAGAACTCCGGTCCAGTCATGTGGATGAACATAATCTACTTCGCACCAGTTTGGACCGGTGCTTTGTCCCAGTCTCACTGGGCTTTATCTCCCAACTCGTGCAAAATTGTGTCCTCCACGTAACTCGAGTCAACTCCAAGTCCTTTACCAAAAAATAGGATATTTCTAAACCAAAATGAGCAGAATTGCGCCATCTACTTTTAAGTAGCCTCAGGAAGCAGTTTCCGACAGCCCTCCTAAAAGCAGAGCTGCGAGTCAACACTGCACTACGAAAGCCATGTTTCGGTTTTCCTTCCGGAATGCTGCTGGATTGTTTGCGAGGCTTGCTTCGTTTCACATAGCTTTCAATTTTTGCACTTAGACTGTTGGACTACATTATCAAGGGAAAAGGTGCTTGCTGTGGAGAGATTTGTTACCCTGCCCCGTCTAGGGACTGTCAGGCCTGCTGTCGGAGGTTTTTCCGCTGCCTTTCCACTACGTTCCAAGGTGTTTGCCTTCGCTTTGTCGCTGCTCCGGTTGGTTTGTCGCATTGTCCTGATCACATTCCTCCTGGTTGGTGATCTATTGCAGTGACGGGCATTGTACTTTGTCCTGTTCTCTTGGGTCTGGCTCTTCAAATCTGTTGCTTTGTCTCGTAAGCCTTGAACAAATTGTTACAGAAAATGCACGGCCAACATGCAAATGAAGGCCTCAGAGAACATGTGCCGGTTCTGCTGCAGCTCATCCTCCGAGGTAAAGTCAGCCTGCACTGCTGGCGCTTGAATCAAAACCTGCCGCACACACACACAAAACATCTCACGACATAAAGGTTGCAAAAGGGTCGTAGCACCAATCCAGAGCAACATGTGTCCAATCTCTGCCATGAAGGGGGCCTTCTCCGACAGCAGCCAACCTCTGACCTCGCGCAGCGAGCCGGCCACATGCCGCAGGACCTGAGTTGTGACGGGCAATAAGCAGGAAAGCTCAAACTTGAAAAAGAAAACAACACTTGCAACCAATCCAGGCTCGGACTCTGGAGCAATCATGCATTCAATATATATATATATATATGTATGAAAGCCAATGAAAGCGGAAACTGCACGGCCCAGCCTTGTCAACCTCCTCCTTGACCTCTGTCTCCTGCAAGGAGCTAACAAGTGGCCCTCAAAGGCTTGCAATTTCCTGAAACTGCTCTCGAATCTCGGATTGAGACAAAGCATGGCCAAAATCACGTGCAAACAAAAAGGAGCTTCCTGTAGCAGCGGGCTATCCGCTGCTCCAAGAACGTGCCCATTTGCGCAGCAAGTTCAGCATTTGGGCGCAAACAAGCGAACCAGCGAACCAACGAACCAAAACAAAATACGCAAGCAAGCAAGCAAGCAAGCAAGCAAGCAGTTCAAGCAAATGAACAGACAGACAGACAGACAGACAGACAGACAGACAGACAGACAGACAGACAGACAGACAGACAGACAGACAGACAAACAAACAAACAAACAAACAAACAAACAAACAAACAAGCACACAAATCTCATCCAAGCACCTTCCAGCGTCTTCGATTGACATCTTGAAAGTGAATAGTTGCATCAAAAAGAACCAACGCTTTGTTCATCGAGTCTGCTCCTTGACCTTGCCCGAAGACAGCGAGCTGGTCTCCTAGCGAGCCAGTTGCAGCCAAAGGCTTTGGGCAAAGAAGAAGGCATTGTGCACAGCTGCAAGCAACTCCCATCATTCACAAAGGGAAACCAGCAGGAAAACCACAACTAGTGGGGACATTCCATCCGCTTGGCACCAACCAGGCTGCCCAGCCTAACAACTTGGCCTCAGCTTTACATTTGTTTCAGGAATATGCCACAGACGGGTCTTGTGGCCTCCTTTAAGCATGTGGGCCGTCGTTTTTTTTGTGAAATCGAATCCAAATGACTATCTGACCCTTGACATAGGCGCCCCACCGACCCCTCCTCCACCTGTTTGGGCGGCGACCAGCTGCTGGCCGGTTCAAAAAGAAAGACCCGGACCTGAGGCCAAACCAAGACTTGTGTGTGTGGTCGATTTGAGGCATTTCTGGCAGATCAACAGTTTGGATGGCCTAGAGCAAGCAGGGCTGCCTCTTGTAACTCATAGGAAGGGTGGAATCCACAGATGGGCCCAACGTGTTTCCGAGAGAAAAAAATAAGGCAAGGAACAAATGGCGAGACTGTGACCTGACACCCCAAACATCTCTACGCTTTGCAGCAGCTGTACTTGCGCGCTTCAGCGGATGCTGCTCACTGCTGCCTAGTACCTCCTTAGGCATGAGCATCCCCCTTGCCCTTCATGACCACGGTGTCACCACCGTCCTGCATAGACCCAAAAGTGTGTCTTGGGTTGTGTTATTTTGGTTCAAACAAGTAAAGGCCCACATCGTGCAAAAACCTCTTGCAAAGACTGCGCGTTGCATATGCTTCTGTGGAATGGCGGCTCCGGTGAAACTCCAGGGCCACTGAGCAACGCTCTGAAATGTGTAGCCGTGATACCATCAAATGTTGACACTGATTGAGAACTTTGACACCTTCGCACTGGAGTCTCTTGCCAACCACATTGATTGACCTCACTTCCTTCAGCTACCGGAAAACAAGCTCGAAGCATGGCTCCTTGTTCTTGTATGGCATCGTCACGGATGCCAACGAGTTTGGAAGCAAATTGTTGGTTGCCTCTCCAAACATGAGCTGCCCAGGTGCCGCCTTCTGCATCATCCTGCGTGCAAGTGACACCTATGGGCGGACATGCTGTTGCGCAGTCAATCAGCTGGGAATTCTGCACATGCCTTCACCTTCATCTTCCAATTGCCTCCGCCCAACAGCTTTTAATGTGTGAGAAGAGCCCGTAGGTTTCACCGCACACTCCTGGCAGAAGTATTGATGGTGTCTCCGAAGAGACGGAATCTCGGCAGCTTCTGGCCAATCACGCCAGCATGGATCTCGCCAGTGTGCACTCCCATCTTGAACTTGATTTTCTGGCAGCACCACACCCAACACACAACAAACATTGTCAAAGCTGGTCAACCTGCATGTCCCTGGACACCCGGGACGGCAGCAAAAGCAGGGCAAAGCCAACAAAAGCCCCCTTCAGGTACAGCTTCTGAAAAAGAGATGCAGAAAAAACACGCCGCACCTCATTTACCACGGTGAGTTGGTTTGCTCCCGCCTCCGACTGCAGCTGGCGAATCTCGTGAGCTGCCGCAAAGAGACGCTCCAGCAGCCGCTGGTGGTGCTCTATGGTAGAGTTCTCATCAGGCGGCAGGTCCTGCGCAGATTTCTGCGAACGGATTTGCCAAAAATTGAATCATTGCGAAGGAGGAAACAAGCCGTTGTTCGAGTGGATCCTCTGGCAGGACACCCACACAGGCGACGTATTCCTCGGACACTGTCTCAATCTTGGTGACCTCACGGAGCACGCACCCTTCGCTACATGACTTGCTGATGGCCGCAGTGAACGGGAGCTAAGCACCCTAGCCTTGTTTGCAGCACAAATGTCATCCATCTTCCCAAAGTACCTGCCAGCTCAAGGCACTCGTCATGCGCAGCTCTGTCAAACGCCCTTCCATGGCACTTGCGAACTGCCATGCCTGACTGATTCCCAAACGCTATCAACCAAATTGAGGGGTTTGAAAATGTCGGGCCCACTGCATCCAAGCAGCTCGTTGAGGAATTGCAATGCAGCATTGGCATCTTCAACGTGGAAGTCGTGGATGAGCACAAACAGGATGGTAACCTCTGACCAGACCCACGTCTCCAACCAACCTCTGGCTGAAAGTGCACCCTTTTGGGCCCTGCAAAGAGCTAAGCCCTCTGAGCCTCCGGTAGTCTAAATCACGTCGCCTTTTTGCTTTTGGGATGACGAACGGTCAGCTTGGACAAGAAACAAGAGCAATGGCCAGAAAGGACCATCGCCCACCGTGAACCGTTTCAGCTGAACTGAGCCAAGGGTCCCGTTCCCTGTAGTCGGCAATGGGCTCCTGGAGAAAGGCCCACCCTCACAGTGGGACTTTTCCATAGCGAAACATGCGGCTGATTTTGGGACACCACTCAAGTATCAGCTTTCAGATTGTGGCCGCAAGAGAGCTGTAAAAGAGTGTCTATGCGTTGCAAGGGCTTTCTCGAATTTCAGACAGTGGCTTTCAGGGAATGTGAGTAATACAACTTCCTTGTTGGCGATTGGAATCTGCCAACTGCATGAAGCAAACAGGCAACAATTTCAAACTGAGCTGGACATCCCACTGTAGTCTTCCGATGATAGAGCCCCGCGGGTCCTGCGTGAGCATCCGTGGGATTACATATTTTGGCACCTGAGCTCGAACACGACATGTCGCAGGGCAGTGCTCCCCTCTGCTCCCACAAGAGTCTGCGGGCACTCAAAACTCCTATGATGCAGCTTTGGTCTAGAAAAGGGTTGATGGCCCATCCCCATTAGACCGCGTCGGTGTCATGCAGGGCTCCCCGCCATGCCATCGAAAATGGTGTACAATCTCTCGAGGGCCTGGAGCAAGGTGCGCAGCACAAAAAATATGACACCGCCTGCCCAGCAAAGAGATAGATGAGGAAAACAAGATTAGCATCAAGACCGACCCAATGGTCATTCCAGGCCTTGCGCTGCGCATTGTCTTCTATGAAGTGCCGCCGCATGCCCTGAGCGCGACGAGCAGGACAACTTTTGCCCCCGGTATTCCAACGCCTCCGTGCGTGCCATCAGAAAACAAAAACAGGCCCTTGAACAAACACTAACTCAAAGAGTTGCCAGCTGATCAGCAACGCTGGGCTGTACAAGTCATGCGGGTTGTCAAAAACATGACCCCTTTTGGATTTTTAAAGAGGATACAACAAGGGCCCAAATTGCACAACTCCTCACATCAATTGGTCAATCTTGAAATCGAAGCTGTTGGTCTCCGGTCAAGACTGCTCGCCCACCGGGTTGCCTTCTCCAGGAAGTATTTCCTTGACTGCATGGCTTACCGCTCAATGTCATAAATCTGTGTCGAGGCAAGTTCCATGACAAACCTGTAAGTCATTCTAGAGAAGGGCTACAGCAAGCTTACAGCCAGGCTATCGCTCACCAAAGCAGGACGCAGGAAGCCGCAGAAAGCTCTCAAAGGGTCAATGTCAAGAATACACAAAATATTGCCACAATGTCATCCTTCAGATTGTTCATGTTGGGCATGAGCAGAGTCCGAGTCTGATTCTGGCAAGCGGCTTCATAGTGCCAAGCACTGCCGTGACAACCTGATCAGGTTTGCGAAACGGCGAACAGCACGTCCCCCACTGTTGTGGACATAAAAACAAACACATAGAATGGTTGCCCCGCCGGGGGCCGCAGCAAGGACAAAGGTGTGCCTTCAAAACAGATGAAGCAGAGAGCATGCTGTTCATTTCAAGTACCTCCATGGCACTGTTGCAGACTCTCGACTTTCAAATCACATCCCCGAGAGAAAATGCCAAGTCGCGAGAAGTGCAAAGTGTACGGGCAGGTCATTGATGTGCGATTTCTCCTGAAACACTTCCGCATAGAGCCAGCTGATCCCAATGTAGACCATCGCCTTGGAGAACAAAGCACGAGAAGAAACAAACACCAGCTGATGGGCCCAAAGCAGGACTGATCACAGGACCTCTACCCACAACACATTGAAAAACGACGTGGAATACTTCTCGGGGAAGACGTTCGCTTGCGTCCAGAACTGTTTCTGATCAGGCCTGACTTTGCACCGCGGCTTTTGCGTTTTCGACTTGTGGCCAATCCAACCCTTCAGCCCAAACAGCCTTGACCCTCACCGAAAGCCTCATTGCACTGCGGCACAGTCAACCAACCCTCAACCCATACCTTCATCCAAATCCAACCCTGATTCAAAGTTGAGGGAGTGATCAAGCCGGCAACACAACAACAACTCGGTCAATCGCTGGGCTCATGACATGACCCTTCAGCTCCAAGCAACCAGCCCACCCCCCCCCCCCCCCTCCCCGATATTTTGAAGCGCACCAGCTCTGTCTGCAGTGTCTTAGCCAGCCCTTCGATCGCTGAAAAAATGTCTCTATCTGAGAGGTGGCAATCGACGCCATGGACCAACTCCCTGCATTTTGGCCGACCAAGCGCCTCCTGCAGGACAAGAACCATATTCTACGATGCCAAACAAAATGATGTGGCCAGCAAACTGCTGTCCCCCTCAGACCCACAAGTTCTAGATCTAGACAAGAAGCCAGCCATGCAAAGGTGAAGTGCCAGCGCCGAAATTGAGGCAGCGAATACGGCCTGGCAGCCGACTCCAATGACAACCACTGGCCTCTGAAATCTGAGTTCTGCTTTGCCCACAGATGCAAACACACGCAGTCACAAAAAGAGACCTCTGAGGCAGTGGCATGATCAACACCCAAAGCTGGAGCATTTGGCAAGCAGTGTGGCCCTGCAGCGTGCAGTCCTTTTTGGATGCAGCAACCAGGATGGCCGGATCTGTGCAAACCTGCCAGCGACAAAGCGTCGACAAGGACTCTGCTCTTGTCAAGCCAACTCTGCCAGCTCAGGCCTTGCTCATGATCACGAGCGCATCGCACGAGTTCCCCAAAGGCCACAAATTGGCCACCTTCAATCGAAAATCTCGCAGACTTTGACTTTGTGAGGATAGTATATGAACATTCGGCTAGCGCCGCCTTGCGAATTGACGTGAACATTCTAAGCGAAGCGCCGTGCATGGTCTGCATTGTAATACAAGAAATCATTTGCAGAGCAAAAGGCACAGGGAGAGGATGTGGTACCAAGAACAAACCCATTTGGCGCATCTTGGGCCCCACCTACCACCAGTCTTCGGGGAAAAAAAAACAGACGTGAACAGGCCCTCAAGTCTCGGTTTTCGCCAAGAGGCTATGAAGAAGATGGCGAAGAACCCAAGGATTGCCCAGTAAGGGACATCCCAGGAGCCGTCAAAGGCTTGCAGGAAGGCTAAGAAGCCAAAGACCTGCAATCTCACTGCCAAATGGGTTCTGAAATGGAACTGGGTGTCGCAAAAAGGCAAGGGTGTCCTTTTGGCTTCCCTCTGAACCACCCCCAAAAAAAAGGTGCTGAGCCTCAGAGATCTTCCTGTAAACTCTGTAACCTCGGATATCCAACTGGACCTCGGACCTTGGCCAAGATCACCATGGAGATCACTTCCACCACCTTCTCCACGAACCAGTCCCCTGGCCCATGCCAAGGGCTTTCTTGCGGGAAGGAACCCCGCTTGTGCTTGGTTTTGGCCTCAGCAACCAAGCGGAAAACCGAAATTCATTTGGGGGGGGCTCCCCTAAGGACAAATCGGCGGATCAAAACAGGCCGCGCCTCTACAGGTGCTCAGCTCGTGTAAGGCGTAACACCGATCCACCGCCATGCCGGCAGCCACCAGTGCCAACAGCACGGCGCCACGCTGCTTGTTCTTGGGGTAGCTATCCTCACAAGTATCTCATTGCGAGACACAAACCACATCAACCAGCACAATGGATCCACGCAAGCACTGGCAAATTCCTGCCAAAGAAACACTTACCCAGAAAGGGAGTCGCTTGTGGTTCTTTCGGCACGTTTCGCGCCTGCTCCCAGTCTTCTTCAATCTTGTCGTCCCAAAAGCGCATGCCAAGACCAGGCTTGAGCTCTTCGTCATCGCTAGCGTCTGCATCTACATCTGCCTCTATTCTGCCCTGCATGGGCACTCAGCAAACATGCAGTGCAAGCTGAACATTGTGATCGGCCTTTGTCCAATCCGCAGACATGATACAATTGTTTGGAGACAATTGGAGCTACTCTGGAAGGGAGTTTACAGCACCATGTTTGAAAGCGTTCTAGTCGTGTCCTGAAATATGCCGTATCATGCCGTATCCAAAGCCAACAGGTGCTTAATACAGAACTTCGGCCTCATGGCCATACCATGCCAGAGTGGTGATTTGGCATTGAGTTTCTTCGATTTCCCTGCCTGCTCCAAGAAGTTTGGCTCCTTCTCCTCCCAAGCAAATGCAGCTTGTCTGACTCATTCCACATCCCTCATGGTGATGCCTAGTCAGAGAACCCCAAGCTCAGTCAACCCGCCTGGCGAGGCTTTGGCCGGAGGGTGTATTGCAGCAGAGCCGCAGCTATCAATATCAAGAAACCCACACTCATGTGCAGCTCCCCCTTGGGATCCTGGCGACGCAAGAGTTCGACCTCATGCCAGTTGAAACGCCAAACAAAAGGCCCCAGTTGTTTGTCATATCCTGGCTGTAGATCTCAAACCAGCTGGGCATCTCGGTGCTCCGCGGCATGTGATTAATCGCCACCTGGCGGATTTCCGCGCTACATTCCGACCTTTCTATAGGAAGCGCCCCGTGCGGTGCACGCGCGGCGTTGCCAATGCCGTGCCTCCTCTTCAATCTCCTCTCTATCAGACTCATCGAGCGAAGAATCGTTCATCAACCTCAGCAAGCTTGGCCGTCACGACTGTGTGACTTTGTGAGGATCCCAAAACGGGACAATTTAAATTGACAAATTGTAGCAGCGCCAACCGCACCAGCCGGTGTGCACAGCATCATCACAAAAGCATTCGCCCAGTTCTGACTTACTGAGTGGCGTCATCTTTGAAGACATCCTCATGAGACCGCCTCTCAGGGCACTTACCTGGAGCGATTTTCTACCAGCTCAGTGTGATCGATTGCTTGCGGGCAATTCAGCAATCACATCGATCTCAACCACAGCTTGACGCCCTGCTTGCCTGTGCGCCTATGGTCACAAGGCAAGAATCACCGCTAGTTGCCTCAGTGTCGTTGGTCGTATCGTTGTCATCCGTCTTCAGCTCGTTCTTGTTCTGCAAGGTCAGACCCCCTCACCCGCCCTGCTCAAGGCCCAAAAGAAGAACTCAGGGTGACCACCAAATGGTAGCTGCTACCATTCACTTGCGTTGCAAAAGGCTGCCATTCACTTTGCTGAAGACCTTGGTGACAGAACTGCCATCCATCCCACCTCGCCGGGGTCGCGCAAAGACTGGCCAAGGCACCTGACAATGAACTTATTCAAACTAGAGCGCCAACAAAATGCTGAAGCCAGCATCTTTTCAATGCAAAAGTCATGGCCATGTCCATCAAGCTCGGACAATCGCATCTGTGAGCGCGACAGCAGAGCCGCAAACCAGATATGGAGTTTCATTGGACCTGGCAAAAGGAAAAGCACGTGTCTGGCGATGCTTGAGAATGCGCAATGCAAGTCCCAAAGATCAAACCCAAAGTCCAATGTGCGAGAAAAATCACGTGGAAGATTCAGCAATGAAATGAGTCGCACTGTCTGAACGGCATGCAAGCAAGTCGCACGGACACAACCAAACCAGGCAGGACGGCTGCGTGTTTCACAAGCAAACTAAATCCTTTCGCACTGAGCAAAAGGACTGTTGGCTGGCTCGAGCCGCTGTGTCGCATCCCAAACATGGTTCGATTGGCTGCCCATGTAGTTGCACCCTGTCAACCAAAACTCCTCGTATAGGTGCATTCTATATCATACATACTACATAGAAACCTATACATATACATCATGCACAATAAACGATACACAACACGCAATACATAATACATTCTGCATGCTCATACTACATGCCACGTAGTACATGCTGTAATAGTGGAACATGATTAATAAACCCGCCCTGATCAAAGACGTCCGGTTTCCCCAGACCATTTCCAGGCAATACTACTTTAAAGGCACCCACAAGGTTTGGCCAAAAAACACCCCTTATTTTTTTGTGGGCACCTCCAAAAACCCCCCCCCCGATTAAAGACGTCCCTGTCCGGCCCAAAATTCCGAAAAAAAGAATAAGAAAAAAGAAAAACAACATTTTAAATTGCCAAAGCTATTGCCAATACTTTTGCCAAGACCAACTCCTTTCATAGTCTCAAGGGTTGCCATTCCAGAAATCAAAAAGAACGGCTAGCCGGAAACAGCAAATTTACTAGTGCATTTTGTCAAAAAAAAAGTTTGACAAGCTCGCAAAGGGTACCCCCCTTCAAGGCCGAATAACACAAAACCCCCTCTGATTAATCAAGTCCCTCTCCAGCCCTGGAAAATAAGACAATGCAATTTCCCATTGCAGTCCTATTGGCCAAACAGGGGTCCACAAAAGAACCGGAGAGCCTGGCAGCTGATCAGAAACCTCAAGCCTCCAAAACCTCAATCGTCAAGCTTCTCAAGTTGGTGTAGCAAGGTGGGATTCAAGGCACCACCACACACAGCGATAACCTTCTATGAATCCAAACTCATCCCATCCACTCTGACCCATGTTGCAAGGCTTGCAACATCGCTTTGTGCCCTCTCTGATCAAGCATGTCTCTTCAACGCAAGCAATTGATGGCTGCCTGCCCAGTTCCGCGCACGGCTCCCTCTTGATTTTGTTTTTGTCACCTGCGCGCTTTGGCAGTTGCCATCGGCAAACATCTCATTGCTCAACAACAAGTCTTCCAGAGCTTCCAGAATTCTTACATGCAAGCTTGACAGCCCTACTAAGTTGCTTCAAGTAAGTGTTCCAAACTGCCCTGCTTTGCACATCACATCTGCTCATGAAGCTGGGCAACGCACGACCCTGCGTAAGCAACCACGCAAACTTTGGCAAGTTCAGCGCTAACGGTAAGTCTTGACAGTAGACAGCACACCTGACAACATCAGCCGCACACCTGCCAAAGAAGAGGTGTGCCCCGAAGAGAGCGCGTGCGCTGGATAAGGAGCTTGCGACCACGCAGGCTCGGCCGGGGATTGCCCCTGCGGAGTACATGGACAGAGCCAGGCCCACCGACAGTCTAAGACACGTGGCCGGTCAACTGTGACTGACATTGGCGAACTGCCGCCGTGGCCCACGGCCGGATGTGTCTGGTCATCTGTTGGACGCATTAGCAAATATCACCTTTGCGGCGCGGCATGACCTCAAAACACCTGCCGTTGCAAAGGGCTTCATTATGCTCCCAGGTCATCAGAGCGCTCCGTAATTTGGAGCAAAGTGGAATGCCGGCACAGGGCCTGCAGCGTTTACCCTGCCTGCATCTCCGCGGTGTATAACGCTGTCACGGATATCAGAAAGCCTTGGTTTTCCTGACCAATCAGGCGGCGGCTTGCCATGAGTTGAGCGAGGTCTGTACCCCCGCTGCGGATGAGATTCGCCCTGCACAAATTGCTGGAGACCTGCTTGCCCTGATGGTAATCTCCAGAATCCCCAGGGTAAGAAGCCGTCTTATATGGCAATGGAGTGACGCGTCCCTCTGTGTCCGAATAAGGATGCGGAGGCTTTGACGGAGGCAAGGTAAGGTTAAGTCTGCCTCTGACTGAGTCTGGCACTGGCCAGCTCAAAGTAGGCCTACCGACAAGGAAACGCCACTGCGTTTTGCCCGGCCTGGCAGTTGCCCGGTGGGCCGGGGTGATCAAGGATGAGTGAAGCAGGCCAAAGTACTTGCCTTGACTTTACCCAGCTCCAATGTTATAACCGGTCACCAAAGCTGGCCTGCGTCACTCTTGCTCTTTGGCGTGTGTTGGCCAACTGCGGTTTTTACGATCTTGGCTTACAAGCCTTGACGTTTGAGTTGCGCCTTTGAAGCAGCAAACTGCGCAGCAAACTGCGCAGCAAACTGCAGACAGCTGCATTGTACATTTATGGGGACCCTCAAAATATGTAGCAAAAGCAACAAAATAAACATTTTTCATCGTCTCCATAAATGTACATTTATGGGAACCTGGCACTTGTCGTCCATGCGTTTCTGCAAAAAACGGAGAAAAAGGGCTTAAGCCAGCCCAGCCAAACCCAGCCAAGAGCCAGCCAAAAAGCCAGTCAAACCCAGCCCAAAAGCCAGCCAGAAGCCAGCGAAAGCCAACCAGAAGCCAGCCAGAAGCTAAGCCAACCATGCAGCCAGCCAAAAAAGCCAGTCTAGAAGCCAGAGTTTCCTTGCAGAAACAAAGGCACACAACACGGCCTCCCCATGGTGCGCACCAGTCGGCCAAACTGCACTTGAAGGTGGTTCTTGCTGCGAAACAACCTTCTGGACGCACGCCTTCCCGCGCTATTCTACAACCGTACAACGGCCCTCCCACAATGCGTCTGCAGCCGGCCAAACTGATTGAAGGTATTCGGGTTGCGAAAACCTCGCATCTCACATGTGTACAAACGTCTGAACGAACATGGCCGCTGTTCGACTTCTCGCGGCGTCTTCACACTACGGTGGGTCTGCAGGATGGCCGTGCCAGAGAATTTGGTGGACTTGCAAACAATCCGCCCACCCCCCTCACCCTTTTTGTTGTGGCTGTGATGTGAAGCCACAACGCAACAAGGAAAGCAAGCAAGCAAGTCAGGCAAACGGCAAAAGAACTCTTGATCGACAAGGAGGTTCTTCCGGAACGGACACACACGCACACCGAAATATAGAGACACAGAGAATCGCACATTTAGAGAAGCGCAAGCATGGCACAGCACACAGACACGCTTATATGCAGACATATACACACATGGTAACGTTTTGTGATCCAAAGCGTATCAAATTCCCGAAGATGGGGTCAGCATAAACCGCAAAGGGCGCAGGAGCAGCGCCAACAATCTTAGGCCTGACCAAAGGCAGGGCACGCAACACATGCCAATAGTCTTCACTGCAAAATGTTATACCAGGTGCCCTTAAGCAGCTTGAGTCTCTCAACAATACCTGACAAGGGAACCTTGAGCGCAAGCACTCCTTTTCAGCACACGGGGTAGAGCATCAAGGTAAGGAAAGGACCTTCTTAGAAAGGGGGGACCCCAAAAGGGAGAAAAGGGTTCACACCCTGAAAGAGGGGGGTCCCCCAAGAAGGCCTCAGGGGGTGAGGGCAGGCAAGCACCCCACCCGAACCCAGACTGAAAGGCAAGCCACATGGTGTGGCTCGCGTAGCCAATTGGTATAGTAGGCATAGCCACTCACTCGTCCAACCTGGGTGGGTGGGTGGGAGAAAAATCTAAGGCCCTGAAATTGGAAGGAAAGGAAGGGTTTGAGCCTCAAGCTGCAACTCAACAGTTAAGGGCACCCGTATAACGCCGCGAGTGCAAGCACTAGCAATCCTTATACCAGGTGCCCTTAAGCAGCTTGAGTCTCTCAACAATACTTGACAAGGGAACCTTGAGCGCAAGCACTCCTTTTCAGCACACGGGGTAGAGCATCAAGGTAAGGAAAGGACCTTCTTAGAAAGGGGGGACCCCAAAAGGGAGAAAAGGGTTCACACCCTGAAAGAGGGGGGTCCCCCAAGAAGGCCTCAGGGGGTGAGGGCAGGCAAGCACCCCATGTCGAGAACTCGCACGCACCCCCTGTAAACTGAGTGCTCGACCGTGTGAAGTGACCTGAGGCGGCACAAACGGATTGAAACGGAAAACACATACGTGTGAATAAAGGCATGAGAGGACGCCATGTGCACTTCATGCGCAAGGAAAGAAACGGTACAAGATCAAGTTAATTTTACAGCTGCAGCTCGCTCCATAGACTGTTCCAAATGCTTGGTGTAACGTGGGACTTCTGGGATTGAAAGGAAAGTAACTGAGTTTCATTGCCTCGACTCGGGGCATCGGCAACATTCACCTCGGTAGGGGCCCGATGGATCCATGTATCGAAGGTCATCCGTTGCTCAAGGCGTAGGAAGTGTTGGACAAGCTGGTCGGCCGCACGGTTGTCGCATGACATGCGAATGAGAGAATGACGTGCAGCTTCGTTGTCCACATGAAAGAAAATGGCCGTGCCTGAGAGCAGGTCTGGCCAGAGGTGAAGTGCCACCAAAATGGGAAGGATCTCGAGGTGCAAAATGCAGTGAGATCCAAAGGTTGTAAGTACTGAAAGAGCCGGGGGCTCAAATGAAAAGTGAAAGCGGGGATGCCCAAAGAAGTCCACGAGGACGCCTCCTATGGAGGGCTTGGAAGCCTCCAAGGCACCATCTGTAAACAGATGCCAAACGAGGCGGTCCTTGCTGCTGACTGCTCTTGGCATGGAATTGACAAGAGACTGCAAACAGCGCTGTAAAATCCTCACAAGCGACGGAGGGGCGCGAGAGCCTGGTGCCAGGGCAGAAAGCTCATGCAGAGAAGAGAGGCATCGTGAATGGTATCGTCCCGATAATTGACCGTGCGCAAACTGCATGCGGCCTCTCAATCTGCGAGCCTCTTTGGGTGAAAGGGAATGGCTTGTCAAAAGCTCTTGCAAGCTAGAAGCCAGGAGATGGATTCGGGTCTCGGTGTTCGCCACTTCGAAGACCCCGGAAACTGCTCGCGTGAGGTTGAAGGCAACCCCAAGCGCCTGAAACACGGCTGCAAACGGTGGGTTCTTGGAGGGCTTGTCACTGACCTGGAAACCCAACAATGTGAACAAGGACTTGATCAGGTGCGTGGCAGCGTTGGCGAGCGGCTCGGGCACCACTGTCGGGAAATCGTCAT